CCGCAAGAACATCCTCCAATTTAGAATGAAAAAGTTCTTAATAATGGATCGGTAGTCTTTATATTGACTGTAACATTATGGTCGGCTTCATTTTTGTAGAAATACGTAGCAAGAATGATTTTTCTGAAGATGTAAGGACATCAAGAACAAGCCCTCGTTGTGCTTTTGGGTTATCACTACTCTAAATATGACAATTTTGTTTATTAACGTATCCATTCAAACAAAAGAGATTTAGACTTACTATCACGTATTAAAAAGAAATGTTTGAATGTTCTCATGCAGCCATATGGCACAACCATGATATATATCTTCGCCAAATTTGAATATTCCTTTTCAGTTACGTGAAGTTCCCACAAGCGACGCTAACTATTCTAATTGACTTTATCATAATTATGTTTGTTTTTGTTTTTTCTTCAACAACTTGTGAACGTAAGAACATCTTATCATATCCTCATCATTATACCTTCCTCTTCTCGGAGACCATTTAGTACTTGGGCAGTTTAATCGTGAGAACTCCACATGCTTTGTGACTTATGGCTTATTTTCTTACACAAATATTGCACCCCGTCCCTTAGACAACAAGAACATCCCTTGCTGGACGGTCTCATGCTCGGCGCACCATGACCGAGTCATCATTTAGATCAATTGTAGCGCTTAAAATTTGACTTTTGACCCTACTTGCGGTATTGTCAAAACGCGCTACGCTGCCGCAAACACAACCCCCAACCACTCAAAATCATACGAGTGTGTATGTGTGTGTGTCGGCAAGGCAACACCTGTGCTGAAGCGCTACCGCAAAAGACAAAGGTGCTATATGACTTTTCGGAACGCAATCTAGCGGAACAGTGGTGGTTGACTTGGCCTGGCTTGCCTTGGCTTGACGTCTTGTCCGCKTAAGTGTTTCGGCGTTTCGTGGCATGCAACAATCTGCAAGCGTACCCCCCACACACGCAGCGGAACTGRACGACCTGCTGCCTGAATTATGCATAATTGTGCTCAGCTGAGTTGAGCGTTGTTGAGTTGAGTTGTATAGGCTGGAACGGGTTGTTGAGTCAGCTTTCGAAGGGATGTTTCGTGACAGCTCACCTGCAGGACTACACCTGTGTAGTTGTTGTGCATGCGGACCTGTGCAACCTGTGTTGCAGTCCTTCATAAGTGACAAGCACTGCACAATTAAGTATCCTGACAATCCCAACTTAATCGAGTCACCTTGGTTCGTGCATACCCGTTTGTATTGACTTATCCAACTGACTTGCTGAACTAAGGTTTTGACCAATGCTTGTCTGGGGCACACACATATGATTGAATTGAATGCATTTTAACAACACTTGCTGATCTTTTGATAGCCGTTAGGTCCCTTTGGGATCAAGTAGAGCAGTGCCCACACTTCGACCTCTGCGCTCTGCAATTGTTGTTTTCGTGCACGCCACCAAATGAGTTCGTCCATAACAGCAACAACAATGTTTGCTTGTGTTTGTGTCCTGTATTCTATTTTATTTTTATCGAGTGTTGCTGTTGTTGTTTTTGGAACGGCGGTCAAGTGTCAGCACACTTGCCCACATTTGAAGTGGAATTGAGTGTAAACCAGGTAGCGTCGCGGCCGCAGGGGTGGTTTATTCGGACCAATTATCTATTCACTTTTCTGACTTAAATGTACTACTAACTATTATTAATGTCGTTGTTGTTGTTGTTGCGTTTATTGTGTGCCATATGAGTGCACACGATTCATCATTTACATATACTCATGTCCGCACACACACACACATGACACTGCTCGCATTCACTTTCGTCGCGGAGCGCGAGTCCTGTGTGAGTCCTTCCGGTCCGTCCACGTTTTTTGGACTAAAGAGTCAATTGCGCGGCCGTAAATGGCACACTTGTTCCTCAAAGCGTCTAGTGAGCGGTTGTGTCCATCTCGAAAATCTTCTGTAAAAGTGTATAAAAAAGTGGAAAGTTCAATAATTTTGTGTTTCTATTTTTTTCCTAATCGTGAAGTTTGTTGAAACTGTGTGCCTTAATTTGAAGTGAAATTTTTAAGGTTTGTGCTTTATAAGTAGATTATGCTTGTATTATGTAATATGTGTACAATAATTGATAAAAAGTGGAAGGCCTATTTAGGGATTACTGGAAAAAAATATTAAAAACTTTAAAATTTCGCTATAAAATATTTTCAACGATTTTCCTTAGTGAAAGGATTAAAACGGAAATATCGCAGTTAAAAAAAATTTTGGTATAAATAAATTTTTGTTTCTTTTTTTTGCGGAAAGTCGGATTTTTTTTTTAAATAACTAAAGTTTTTTTTAAATTAATGTATATTTTAGTATTAGAAAGCGTTACTGAATTGTTAAAATTTTGATCAAAAAAATTCAGAAAAAATTTCAAAATTTCCCAAAAAAAGAATATT